ATATATATATATATACATACATACACATTGGTGGGCAGCACTAATCCAAAAATTAGCTCTGCAATTTCTAAAGTGCTTATGACAACATTTAGGTCAACAACTTCGAATGCACTTATGCCATAGAAAAACTAGCGGATGGTAATTGTAAAGAGCAAGTTCAATTTGACACTAACTAGCTGGGAACAATTCATGTACAATATATGCAAAATACTGCCAACTAGCAGTGTATGTACGCTTTTACAACTTAGTTCTACAACTGCCGATTGCTGGGGGTGTGATTTCCTGAAACAGACCTTTAGCTCCTGGTGTAAAAATTAAACAGTTGTTGAGGATTGCTAGTTCGGCTGCTTCTTTGTCTTCTTCTTTTGTTTGTTGTAGATTTTTAATTAAAGAATCATCAATAAAGTAATTTTTAAAACTGTTTATTGGAAAACTGAAGCAATGCATTCTGGGTACATGACGGATTTGATTTGTGGCGGGAAACGAAGGCACAGACAACAGAAAACTAGCTTCCTTTCAAAATAAGAGCTTGGATTTTAAAGTTTTCCATGTAGTTGCTCCAGTTGACCACTAGATGTCTGTCTTTGTTAGCATAACATCTTTAAATCATTTCTGAGTCTCTAAAACCGTTGGCCGATTGCTTCGACCAATTACGTCAAGTATTGAGCTCCAGCGTTTAAACATTTTTTTTAAAGGAGCTCCGACTGTAAAGTAAAATAAACCAATACATACAAAATTTTAGTATGGATTACAAACGTTAACTGTTTTTGCTATTGCCTTCCTGCTACGTAAGCAGACACAAAACATTGTGGGAAATCAGAACCGTGACCGAAAGCAACAGTGTACCTTCTCAATAAGTGTGTTTATCTGGGAGGGGAGCTGTTGGTTGGAGCACGTGTGTTGTGATTCTTTGACAGCCATTCCTTCTGCTGTTCAAGATAATGATGACTGGTAGATAATTAGTTATCAGTGGTACTGTGTTTTAAATTTAGAAAGTGCAAATTTGCTTACGAATTATAGAAAATAGTAAGACTGCTAAAGCGCAAATGAAATATTTAGGTCCGCAACTAGCAATTTGCGCTTTAGCGGGCTGGTGCCCACCACTGTATGTATGTTTAAATATAGGTGTGTGTGTGTGTGTGTGTGTGTGTGTGTGTGTGTGTGTGTGCGTGTGCGTGCGCGTGCGTGTGCGTGTGCGTGTGCGTGTGATGGATGTTGTGGGAGTGACTGTAGACAATTGTTCAGCTCACTAAAAGATATGCTGGTGTAGATTCTCAGCCATCCAGAAAAATCTTAAATTACATCAAAAGCAACTTCTCCTTTTTCATTCTTGTAAATGTATTGCTTCTCATTGCAAGAAATATTTGTCACTTAAAGGTAAAGACAGTCAGGAAAAAAACACACCAAATAAGGGATAAAGAAAGGAAGACTGATTGATTTGGCTCAACAAAACAAAGCGAGATAAAATGATTTCAGAAACTTTCAGTCAGCTCAACAGCTGGAGTGAAACAGTGGGGAAGAAAAAGAGTAAAGGAAGTAGAAACATTCACTTTCTGTAATAAGAGTCAAAGACCTCATTATTCCAGACTCTGAGCTACAACTGATGTGATGTTGGTGTAGCAAAAGCCTCTTTTATTTAAAGTCAAAGCATTAAATCTAGTTTGTAGGAAAACATTCATCTTTATCAGTGATGCTGGTGGTGGGTGTGTACGTTATAAAATCTTGTGGGTTTTATTTCAAAAATAAAAACATTAAGGTACACATGCCTTAGCTGTCATTTTTATAACTGCTTTAAAGTTTACACCAAAATGTTTAACACAATCAAA